ATGGTATCGCTTTATTGGAACACAGGTCTTTCTCAGGTGACAAAATCTAGAAATTGCATTCATCGCAGTTTTGGATATGGAGCTTATTTGACTTGCTGACTGGTTATGGTACTCAGTTCGCAAATAGGATTTCCTTGCTTACCAAAGGCTGAAAGTGTAAGCTTTCTCACGCGTGCGAACTCGCGGTTCAAAACATGTTGGACTGGCTCAGTATCTGATTACTTCTCAAACATTCTATGCAGCACAAGCACTTGTGCATATTCGCAACAGACATGGAACGGAATAAGAATGCGTCTTTTCCAATTTACTTAATGCTTGTCTTTATAACCTACGCAATTTTTTCCATAAACTGACTGGTTTAAGCGATCAACTTTAACTAGTTCTAAACTTTTCGCACTTTTTTTTAATCAATGGTTGAAGTTGATCAGCGGCAAAGCGCAAATCGGAAAGTGTTCGATAATTCTACTCTATTCTCACCTGTGGGTTGTCAATGGGAACTACTACCTACACTTCATTTGGAGTGATTGACTTTACGAACGATAGCATTTGCAAGCCGCCAGCTGGCTACCGTAAGCGGGGCGCTGAATGCTGAATGCCCGGCCCCCTGACAGCTTAAGAATGCCTTGCACTTATGGAAAAATTTATAAGCCATTTATGCTTGTATTAAATCTGCATTTCAAAAATATTAGTAAATTGCAGCTCATAAAATTTCGAAAATCTTCCTTCAGAATCCTTCTTTAATTTGAGACGTTTCACACGCTTTTTTGATTGACGTGTTTTCTGTCTTATATTTTGGTTCGATTTTGCATTAAAACTTTCAGTGAAATTTGTTTCAAACGCTTGAGTTAAAAGTGTCACATCACATAATTTACAAATGTCATATATAATGAATGTTCTGCTTGAAAATTTCTAGAGATTTCGCTTAGAAATACATTAACGTATAAAATAAAACCATTGTGATGCAGAATGAACTGGCATTGCTACACAATTTCCTTTCATATCATAAGCAGTTTTTTGAATTATAATCAAAACCAAGCAAAATTTATTGTTTTTTAGCAGTCATAACGAAGTTCCAAAATCTGACAAATGGAGAATCTTTGTTCAGACATCATTGGAAAGCACAAGATTACATAATTCTATGTTGTCTAGGATCTAGCAAATTCGCGTGACAAAATTAAGATTCATTGGTGTTCATTAAGTGAGTCCCCAATTTCTAATTGAGTAATGATCATTCTCGATGATAAAAGGAAAAGCTGTCGTCAGTGAAGACCGGCCTCAAATATTGTGAAAATCTAGAAAAGTTGTACTGCACTTATGAATCCTTCGTGATGTTTTGCTATAGAGAAATGCTTTTGCATCAACTCCAAAAATGTTACCCTTAATAGAAAGAGTTTAGTAACTTAAGCGAATTTGCTTGTTGTCTTGTTCAGTAGTGTGAGGATACTCAGACAATTATGCCCGAGGTGATTGACATTGTCTTTCATACTTCCTGGATATCAGTCATTCAACCAATTACGAAGCTAACTCATCAAAACTCCAAAACTTTTAGACAACACGTGCCACTCATGAATGATCAAAAATGGTAACAGTGAAACAAATCAAGATTTTGTTGAGGATATCCTCTCAGAAGCTATTTTCTGTAGACTGATGAATAAGACATGAACCACTGCCAAAGCTTTAGTGCAGAAAACTCGTCTATACGGCTAAAGAGGGAGCTAACGGTGCGCATCTTAGTGAGAATTACCTGCTTGAGCGCGCGCTATCGTTCACAAAGTCCGCCACTCTCTTACTTATGTTGTGCGTACGTACGATACACAGTACTTTCACACTTTGAGATGATTACGTTGATTTATGGTCATGATTTGCTCCGACACTACATTTGCATAATTTGGGCGCTTATGCAACACCCTGCGGTGAGGGGAGCGGCGTCCGCAATTGTGTACAAGCCGCTGCGACGTACGCACGCAACCGCTAACGGGGGGTGCCGCTTCCCTCGGCGCAAGGAGCTTAATGCATACAGCCAGCCCCAATCGGGATCAGGCCGAACCGTCGGCGTGGATGCGCGCTCGCTGCGCGGGGCGTTTGCGCTGCTTATGCGCGCTGTCGGAAAAAGCAAGGAGATCGAAGAGGAGCAGATAAGCAAGCCGTGGGCATGATCGCGAGACCCTAGCGACGCGGACTCCCGCCATGCCATTTTTGGCCTGATTGGGATTGGGGCAGACTGTACTGACCTTAGTGAGAATGGAGCATATGAAGTTGCTGCAGTCACAAAAGCGTGATATTTATATGCTCAAATTTCCCTTAGCCGTTGCTTAATTGCGCACCATGTGAGCTGAAAGGTCACCTTCCATGCAATTTTGCTTCAAGTTCTCTTTTCATATAAACATAGGGTAATACATACTTCAAGTTCTCTTTTCATATAAACATAGGGTGATACATAAAATTCAACAATTATGAAACTTCTTGTGAGCCACGCAGGTTTATTAAGATATTTATCAGGTCTAACGTTTCGGCAATAATGCCTTCCTCAGAGACCTAAAGAAAGTCTCACACTAGTTTTTTGCCCCATATGATCAGATCTCTCCTCTTGACTAGCCGAGCTCGACGCCTTAGGAGCAAACAAGCGGAGACTTTACACTACAGGTAGCATAAAAAGATCTCCACCGACAGCGCAACGACGACGTTCAAACTCCACTGGTGGTAAAAGACTATAGCTGACCGATATGGACAGCTTAAGTAGTAGTGGAGATGATATCTATAAGTGACAGTATGACAGAAATGGCATCAAATCATGTGTGAAAGAGAGCTGTTATTCTTCCCGTTCAGTTTCGGTTCGCGGGAGAGAATGTATGCTGCTTCAAGCGCTTTGCGAGCACCAATTTAAAAAAAATCTGATCATATGATAGGTGCCAGAGTAAGCGAATATTTTGTTCAGGTTGGGGTCCCGCGCAGAATGGACGTTACTCACCATGCTGGCGTCAATCTAAGTGACGTCAATTCTGCGCGGACCCCAACCTGAGCAAAATATTCGCTTACTCTGGCACCTATAGGGCTTATCAAATTGAGTGCCGTTTGCACCAGCATCTCCATCTTCGCGCTGGACTCTGCGTCTCTTCTGCGGCACATGTTCCCTAGTCACTTCCAATCGATTGAGGCTCCGCCTTTTCCACGCTCGCCTTGGGAAAGTGCTTAGAGAGCAGCCCCGCGGAAGAGACGCAGAGTCAAGCGCGAAGATGGAGATGCTGGTGCAGACGACACTCAATTTAATAAGCCCTATACCTATGGGGCAAGAAACTAGTGTGAGACTTTCTTTCAGGTCTCTGTGGAAGGCATTATTGCCAAAACGTTAGACCTGATAAATATCTTAACAAACCTGCTTGGCTCACAAGAAATTTCATGAATACAAGACAATGCCCAGGTTTCATGATCAGAAAACATATAAAATATTCAACAATTATTTATTCATTATACAGTCAATCAGCATGAACTTAAAGATGAAGGAATTCAGAATCTTTGTAGTGTTTTCTCGCGTTCGTTTTGTCTTCTGTCGTGCTCGAGGCCAGTTTCCGAAGGTGGGGAGGCGGAGAACGAAGAGGATGGTCAAAGTATGCGCGTAGGGGAGGGGGGGAGGGTAACAACATTTTCCTCTCCTAATGTTTCCATCTGCAGAATGGATTTAAAACAGGTAAACATTGCAAAAGTAGGTAATTTGCCCAAGTTTGATTATTGCATTGATTCGTAGTCATGACTTGCTGCAAGACGCTGATCTATTAGGTTGTAAAGAAAGTTCCCGGGCACTTGCGAAAATTTTTTTCAAATCGCTGTAACTTCGAGCAATTGAATCTTTTTTTCAAACTACAAACTTAATTGCAAAGACAATTTTGTCCGCGACATATATTTGTCTTGCTGGCTTTTCAGCACCTTACCGCGGTCCACCAGCATGCGCAGAAAGGAAAAAGGTCGACGCGAAAAGTGGCCTGTTTGTGCAGGATTATCTCAGGCACGTTGAAAGTTGGAAAGCTCAATTGCTGTAGTCATATAGAAGTCTGCTGGAGCTGTTATGGAGACCTTTCAAATTCTTGAAGGATCACCTGCAAAAATTTTTTTTCCAGAAAGTTTGAAAAATCGACCATTTTTTGCCCCTAAAAATGCACCATTTTTCGAGCAAGTGACTTAAAGTCTTGTCGTTCTGCATAGGTTACCCCAACAACGTTTGATTGCTGCGAATATTGGGGCAATGCCTTACGTCTCTTTTGGACCGGACATCCACACGTGGCGATCCCCGCACAAACGACGCCGGCTGCGAAAAGAGTTTTAGTCAAAGGCAAGTTCGACAGCTTGTAATTTTTGAGCGCAAATCGCAGAACTCGAGTGCAGCTGCGGGTCAGAAGAGAACAGGCTTCTCAATAAGATCATCCATGATTTAGACAAAATACTTTGAATTGCACAAAAAAAATGGCCGTAGGAAGAAGAACTGTGAAATTTTTATAGTTGGAAAGATTTATTTTCTTGATGTGCAGATCAAACAGTCTTGGCATGGATAAGAATTGGAAGCCGTATTGAAAACTTCAGGCTTCCCTCTACTGAACAGTATAGAAAACTTGGTGTCAAACTCCGACCGAGAGCCGAAAAAATGCGTTTGAAAATGAAACTTGCAAAAGTGCCCGGGAACTTTCTTTACAACCTAATACATACGCGACTCTTATCTATTATTACAAAGGAAACATGATATGATTTTTGGTGATTTATTATAACCTTCTTGCTGCATAATTCTTATGAGACTGATCCTTTGATCAACTGAGTCGCCTGTAACTAATTCAATATAAAAAATTGGGTCAGTTTATAGTTGAATTCATACGAAGTGCTTTTGCGTCGACCCTACCTCATCTAGACATATTACTGTAACTTTTTGTTTTCTGTGAATCTCATAAGCTGTTGTCATGCAAATTGAAACGCTCTTTTCTAACATTAGTGGCAATCAGTGTGTTATCTCATTTCAGAGATCTTTTCATTCTTTTCGTTCTGCCTCAAACGAACGCTGGCTGAGCACATGGCTGGTTGTTTCTGGGTTTTCCTCGTTCTTCGTTTCGTTACCAGCAACACTAATGTTGACAGCCATGTGGATTGGAGGAGAACTGGTTAACAATGATGTTATTGTTGCAGTGGTGTACGTGATGCCCGGGTAAGTCCTGGAAAGGAGAGAGATGCCAAATTTTGTTGCTTACAAAGGAATGGTCAGAAGTCGGAGTGGCCAATCCAAGCAAGCTGCCTACTATTCGACGCAGTTTAAAACTGACTTCGAATCCGTATTCGTTATCTGCTTATCGCCGAAAAAAGCGCACATAAAATTTGCTTTAGCTCACCTCTAGGCTTCAAGAGTATAAAGTAAACCAGATGCATGTTCTGGCACAGCATTAAGCAGAACATGGCTCAGTACTGTTGAATTTGCGCATTGCATGCATGATTTCTCAGCAAAACAACGGCTTTTAACGGTCCATAACTCCGTCCATAAAGGCGCTAAGCAGATAAGAAACACAGATCCGAAATCAGCGTTTTATGCTGCATCTAATGGTATGCAGCATGTTTGGATTAGCCACTTCGATTTCTGACCATTCCCTTATTAGAGGTAGCAGTCTTGTCTAAGTTTATTTCGTAGCTCAACTCTCATGGCTCATTTGTACAAACAAAGCAAATCCAAACCTCTCTGCAGTCGCATAATTTTCACACAAGTAAAGTCTTTTATAACATTTTGTAATCGAGACTGTTAAGGTTATCAAGATAGTTTTACATACGCTGCAAACAATCTGCATCACTTGCGTCTTTCTTAGCTTTATGTGCAACAAACGCTTTCATTATCTACGTACTAAGCATCCAGACAAAACATGCTTTAGCATCACATTGAAAAAAGGAACGCTCAGAATAAATTTTTGAAAGGTTTGAAGTCGTACGCATTATACTTTTTTGGAAAAGTCAAAAGAGTTGAGTCGACTGAAATCCACCCAAAATCTGTGCTTAGATTATTATACAGTGTATAAAAAGACATTGGAAGTGGAGCAACTGCGTTGTTGCGTCCCAGAAACAGCTCCCTGACGTGTGCAGACATGACAGGCACAGTCGAAGTGCTAGCTGTGCAACTGTATCGCTGGTACATACGACATCTAGGCCCGTATGCACTTACATCCCCGCGGGGAGAGGAGGGGATCTGAGAGGGGAAGCGTCATATCTCGCTAGTCTATGTATCTTTCTTCTTCTTTCTCTGTCTTGCTTTTGAAGGCTCTCATACACTGATACTTACGCATAACAGATGCCACGTTACTGCCATACAAAATTAGATATCCACTATCTCGTTGATCCCCTGGGGATCCCCAGGGGATCACCTCACATTTTCAAAGTCATTTATCTTCCTGAAAACTCGATGAAACTGCTCTAATATTGTGTTGGGATTATACTACAGTACTGCTAAACATGTTTATGTAAAAATAAATGAAATCTCAAGATATCAAAATCTTCGATGAACCGCTGCTCGCGAGCCAGTGATTATCGGAAAAAAAAATCTCCAGATTCCATTTCTTCTGTCGAAAACATGCTCAGCAGTATAGTAGTATATCTTCAGTACAATTTTGCACTGCTTTCTTTGATTTTTCAGGAAGATAAATGGCTTTGAAAATGTGAGATGATCCCCTGGGGATCCCCAGGGGATCGGAAGAAACAGTGAATATTTAAACTTGTATAGCAGTAACCTGGCATCCATTATGCGCAGGTATAAGGGTAGGAGAACCTTTATGAGCAAGATAGAGAAGAAGGAAGAAAGATATTTAGAGTAGCGAGATACGGCGCTTCCCCTCTCAGATCCCCTCCCCTCCCCGGGGGCTGTACGTGCACACGGGCCTTAGTGTTGCTTACGACGGGATTAGCGCCGGAAGATTCGTCCGCTAATGTCAAGATAGAATTTCAGGGATTTTCTAAGGGATCTCATGTAATTTGCACACCGTAATTGAAATCATAAGAAGACCTAAGATTATTGAATACATTGAGGACGAAAATCTGGGTAGCTGCCTTCAAGCATCTACTCTGAATTATAGCTGTTCATGGCGGTTCTGCCATGAGTGAGAACATTTCCGTTCGAAGTTGCTAAGTAGTACAATACCACTCTCAGAATGTGCAAAATTTCCGGGAATTCCGCGGAATTCCGGAAGTTTCGCGAAATCAACGCGAATCGCGCAAAGTGCGCAGCGCCATAAGTTCCTTCGGAATGAATATGTTCTGAATCCGGAAGCAGCATTGTGTTCAGCTTGTCAAGGCGAATCTTTCCGTATGCAGCATGTCCTCGATATTTCGTTTCCAGTTTTCTCAAACTCTTCTGCGTCATTTCGCAAGGATGTAATGCAGCGCCTATTCAACGCGAGAGATGTCTGTAATTAGTATTCGATAGTTATCTGCTCCAAGACGAAGGCGGTCGCCCAAATAGATTGAAAGCATGCAAGGCCGCAGCGCGGGCGCGGGCAATTGTCGACCACAGGGCGCGCGCACGCTCGGTTCAGCGGTCATCCACGCGGGCGTGCGCGCGACCCGTGGTCGACAATTGCCCGCGCGCCACGTGCGCGTCAGCCTTGCATGCTCTCAGCCTATTTGGGCGACCGTTTTCGTCATGGAGGAGATATTACTCCTTCTGTAGATTATGGAGCGCCAGAGAGTAGCCGCAGACTTCTTTCTCGTTTTACTCTCTCTCTCTCTCTCTCTCTCTCTCTCTCTCTCTCTCTCTCTCTTGCTCGCCATTGGAGTTTGGTCAAAATGTTGGTGATCTCTGATTGTAAGGAAACTTCTCTTATAGAGGTTTTCGGACACGCTGTTTACGAAAATCATGGCCTTTGGGGAACAAAGGGTTTTGCAGAGATATGATGGGGTAACTGTAACTGAGTCACAAAAATTCGTAAAATTTCGTAAAATTTTCGTAAAATAAATTCATAAAAAAGTAAATTCGTGAAATTGAGAGAGAGAGAGTAAAACGAAAAATAAATAAGCCGAACATCTCGAAAAACTTGCTCATAGAGGTTATTCAATTTGCTGATTACGAAAATAACACCGCTCAGAAAGAGAGCTTTATATTCTAGGGTTGTGGTGAGTAAAATTTAGAACGACATGATTTTTCCAGAATTCATCAACCCTTTTATTTCCTTTGGAAAAAATTCTGCGGCTACTCTCTGGCGCTTCATAATCTACAAAAGGAGTACTATCGAGTAGTACTTGCAGGCATCTCTTGCGTTGGATAGGCGCTGCTTACATCCTTGCGAAATGACCTCCAGAAGAGTTTGAGAAAACTGGAAACGGAATATCGAGGACATGCTGCATACGGAAAGATTCGCCTTGACAAGCTGAACACAATGGTGCTTCCGAATTTAGAACATATTCATTCCGAAGGAACTTATGGCGCTGCGCAGTTTGCGTGATTCGCGTTGATTTCGCAATATTCCCGGAATTCCGCGGAATTCCCGGAAATTTTGCACATTCTGAGAATGGAATTATTTATATACTTTTGCTTTGATTGCCTAAATTCAGCTATGATTTCAGCTTATCCGTCGTTTTGTCGCCTTCAGGTAATAAACAGTAACGAACTGATCATTTTACTAACGCTGCGAAACTTTTCAAGCATTGCTTGCAAAAAAAATTTGATGCTGTTATCTGTACAGTCTGCCCCAATCGAGATCAGGCCGAACCGTCGGCGTGGATGCGCGCTCGCTGCGCGGGGCGTTTGCGCTGCATATGCGCGCTGTCGGAAAAAGCGAGGAGATAAGAGGGAGCAGACAAGCAGGCCGTGGGCGTGGCCGCGAGACCCTAGCGACGCGGACTCCCGCCATGCCAATTCTGGCCTGATTGGGATTGGGGCAGATTGTAGCTTCCAACCGAAAGCCAACAACGAGTAGAGAAATTCTGCAAACAAGAAACAGATTCACCAGTGCGCGGCAAGAAAAAACTAGCTTTTCTGCACAGCTTGAATAAAAACAACGAGACGAAAATTGTGACAGATTTGTGAAATAGTCTTAAACAAGTTCTACACTTTCAAAAACTAGTTTTCTCTTTGAAAGAGTTTTGGGTATTTATAAGTTTTTGTTTGATATAAACATTTCAGAAAATTTCTTTCTAGAATATTCTCGATTGCGACCACTGTGGCTATTTTTGTTTTGACCAAGTCTCTACGACGGCGACTGCTCAGACTAATAAAATGGCGGTCAGTTTCTAAGGCGACTTATTTGAAAGTTCACAGAGTATGGTTTGGGCACCATGCAGTTGTACTCAACTGGTACATGTAAAACTACGCTTATACCACCTTTCATGGCATTTAGTGCAAAATCTACACGCTGCAAATTTTCGTGTCAAGGTCTCTCGACTTTCCGTGTAAACTCTCGTTTGAGCTTGCTTTCTTGGAATGTGCATGAGCGCCCTGATTGGCGCCCCTTTTACCCGATTTAAAGCTCGGATTCGGGTACTATGACAAGAAGGCCCAAATGCAGTAAGGTCGGAATGCAAAATTTGCCGAGACATTGCCTTCAAGTGTGGCATTCGTAAAAAACATCGAAACAGAAATATGATACTTACCTGCTTTTTTCTTTCTGAATTTAAATTCTTGAAAACGAAGCCTAAAATGCTAGAAATGAGTTAGTCAAATTGTTTCGTACCACTGTTCGCACCTAGTTATTACTTCAGAATTCTTACTACTGATAGCGGAGGAGGTAACATTTTCCAAATTAACTTGATTTTTGGCCTTGTGTTGATATTCCTCACTACAGACTTATATTGATTTTCGTGAATAGGAGTAAAATGTTTGGTTGCCACACTGCACAAGAGAATTCATGCAAACAAGGCATAGATAAAATGAAGTATAATTTACTTTCAGCCTTTCATTTTCAAGCAAAATTCCTGCATGCGAAACTCCGCCATCTCTTTAGAAATGAGAAATGATTCTAACGATAAGACAAGTTAAAAATGTTAAAGTAAAAATGGATAAAGTTAACATATAGACACAACACTTTAAACCATAAGATTAGCCTACAGACACAACACTTTGAACCATAAGACCTGCCAGTAGCCAAAATACATTACGCAAACTATATATTTGCGTTTTGACCCAAATGTCAGTCGTCGAGAAAATGGCTGGTCGTGAATGTGTCAATAGTTGATGCAAAATTAG